AGTGGGTGATCTGGGGGCCACCTATAAGTTTGTCAGGGTGCTGACCAGGATCTGTTCACCAGAGCCCCCCAAGGGATGACAAGGTCGAACGGTCACAAACTCCTCCATAATGGTTTCAGGCTGCACATAAGGAAGAACTTCTTTACTGTCGGAGCCCCCAAGGTCTGGAATAGGCTGCTGCCAGAGGTGGTTCAAGCACCTGCTCCGAATGTCTTCAAGAGACATTTGGGTGTTTATTGTGCTGGGATCCTGTGACACCAGCTGACTTCCTGCCCTTTGGGGTGGGGGGCTGGACTCAGTGATCTTCCAAGGTCCCTTCCAGCCGAAATGGCTGTGAAATCTATGGAAGAACTCTTCAAATGCTGTAGCCCCTTTCCCCCCAGCAGGTGGATGGGCAGCACCAGGTCCAACTATGGGCTGGACAGCGGTTTGTATCGAGCGCCCAGGCCCAGCACAGCGGCACCATCCGCCTGTGTGCAAGGCAGGAAACCAGCACGAGCCTGGCCCCCAGCTTGGCGCCAGAGGAGTCGGGGAGGCATGGCCTGGCCCTGGTTAGGCATGCGGAGCTGGGTTTTGGGGATTTGGCGAGGGAGAGGGTGGCTATGCTAATGGCTGCTGCTCCCCCACTGCCACTTTTCCTTATCCCCAGGGAGCCCTGCAGGTCAGAGGTTGAGGTGCACTAATACATTGGTCCCATATCAGATCAGCACAACTATAAGAAAAATTGACAGTATCGGTAGTCTGCCTTTTTTTGGCTGATGTGGCTGACAGTGTGACCAATAAATTCCTCGTGCATGTGCACAGCCACAGCACAGCACACAGGTGGCCAGGAGCACAGCATGCAGCATGGAGAGCAGCTGGGTCTGGCTAGTAAGTCTGTTGTGAGGGAAGGGGGGCACAGATCAAGACCCAAGCAGTGAGGGGAGCAGGAGTTGCACAGCTGGGGTGGGGCATGGGACGGAGCTGTGAGTGGCTCATTTGGGGGGTGTGGGGAGGATGGGCAGCTCTCGCTGCTCTGCACACCCCAGGAGGGCATGGGGGGGTGTGCCCCCACTTCTGCACATGGGGTGAGGGTGGGTTGCCGCTGTAGGTTGGGGCTGGGGTGGTGCTGAGCTCTTCCCAGCAGAGGGGTTGGAAAGGTGCTCAACTCAGGGTGGGCAGCCGCAGTGCTGAGGGGGGGATACAAGCGAGGGGCTGCACCTCCCCAACCCCTTCTCCGAGTGCCGCCACCCCCAGTGCAGCCCAGCCCAGCCCCCTGCTGAGAAAAGCCCGGTGCCACCCTGAGTTGAGCATCAGTATCGGCCCAAAAAACCAATCTGCCCATCGGTATCGGCCCAAAAAACCTCTATCGGTGCGCCCCTAGTCAGAAGCGATGGTTCTGTGGACCACATTTGGCCAGCAGGCTGCAGGTTGGGCACTCCTGTTGTAGTCCATCTAGTTTCTCCTCCTTGGCTGTCTCTCAGCTGCTTTCCTTTGGAAACCATGGCATGCAAGGGTTTTTGCACTGTCTTTGTGTGTGAAAGAAACTGGTTATCAGATTTTAGTGTCACTTCACGTCACTTCGCTTGCAGGAAGAACCCCTTGAAATAAAGTACTAGGGCAGAGAGTTCAAGCAAGCATCTGGACCTGAAGTGAAACAGGTGTTTCTTTATTTAAAAAAATCTCCCCCAACCTCTCCCCCCATTTTCAGTAACAGGGTTGTCTGAGTTCTCTCATGCCAATTTTCTGAGATGGAAATTTCAGCTTGGATATTACAGTGTTCAGCAGCCCATTAGTAGCTTCCCCAGCTTGAGGAGCCCAAAATAAAAATGGAGGGGCGGTTAAGTCTCAGGTTGCAGCCAAAGAAAGTGTTTTCCACAAGTTGTATTTGTTTGCTCTAATGGAACAAAATAGTCTTTTCCAGACTCTCACTTGAAATGTGTAAAGGTAAGAGCACAGTGCTGATAAGGGGGAAGAGAGGAGGATCTTGGAGGAGGGGTTGCTCAGAAAGAGAGCATATGAGAGTTTTAATTGTTGCCCAAAGTGCCACTTGAAGAGTGGCAGGCCTCTTCAGATGCTTTAAGCTGGCACTAGTATAAAAAGCTAGTGTCAGCTGTCTGCACTTCATGATCCAACTTTTACCCAGGGCTTTGGGGCAGATGTGTAACTTACCAGGAACAGTCACCTTTTCATAAAACAAAAAAGTTAAAAAGATGCTGTTAAGCAAGTTGATAGGGCAGCTGGGCTTCTGGGAACAGCAAGGAAAGCAAAAGGATTCAAATTGTTCAGGGAGCCTTTTCATTTCTAGAAGGGGAGATGAAGGTTAGACAAAGGTTATAGACAAGTGGATTCAGATTAGCAGGCCAAAGGCTATGAGATATAAATATCTTTTTATGCTATCTTCATCATTTATTTTGAGCTACTGGCTTCTGAGCCATAGTGAAAGGATTCATTGTATAAGATTTGCAAAACTGTTCTTCTTTTTTTATTTGTTAAATTAAATGTAAAATTGAAGGAACCATACTCTAATTAGTCACAAACTGCTCCAGAATAGCCTGTTACTGAATTTCTTGGGTCATTGTAGGAGAGGCCTCAGTGATCTGACATGTACATCAGTAGCCTCCTAATATACATCCTGTCATGGCATGTTGCTAAAACTAAGATATCCTTTCTCCAAAATGATAATTACTTCTTGATGTTATATCACTGTTAATGAAAATAAGTAAGAGTTGTTTGACTAAAATTACCTTTCCCTCTAACAATTTTCATGCTCTTGCTTCTATGTTGATACCATCTTCACGGCTCTCCAATCATTATCATGTTTTTCAAGACATTTCCTGGATGGATTTGTAATTTGAAAAAATACAGTTAAAAGATCTTTCCAAACTTCTTTATAATACTTAAAAAAGAATACATGGATCCCATTTTTTAAAAACATATTTTTATTTTTCTGCTCACCTTTGAAATCCGTCCTCAGTTTGAGGGGTGGTAGGATACTGTAACACATATGGTAAAGCCCTTACATTTTATCCTCAGGCAGGACATCTTTCTTCAGATGCTAAGAGCTGAGGCAGAACTTGATTAAAAGCAGTGAGAACTTTTAAAATTAAGACAGTGGGTGCCACTGAAACTATTGAAACTTTGTTCACCCCTGTAGTGAAATCCAGAAAGAGGGCTGTCAGCTTAAAAATGGCATTTCTGCTGGAATAATTTTTAACTTCCTTCTTGCTTCAAGCAAAACCCAGGCTTAATAGGGCTGAAAGTTATTGGAGGGAGGAAAAAAAATCTCTGTTTTTCCAACTGGGTGCTCTGTGTAGTTGTTTATCCTTTGTCACTTTGTTTCCTCTGTTGGTTAGTGGAACTTTCACATAGGAACAAAGGGGAGAATAATTTAAAAGAGGAAAATGTGACTACAAAACTGCAGACACTGGCAAGGGTGGATACACTAGCATGTACTTCATTTTTAAACACAAATTACAGAAGAGCCTTCAAGTTACTGATATTTCTTTAAAATGTCTTAAATGAATAAGATTTGTTTTTAGCTCTGAAATATACTTTTAAGCCCTCTGAAATTAAGAGGAATCTTTCTTTAGCTTCATTGGGCTTTCAGTAAGGTTTTAAGATGGGTTGAGGAAGTAGCTGTCCAAATCACTTTTGGAACACTCTTCTGAAAACACTCAAAAATTGCTTGCTGCTATTTTTACCCAAACAATTTGACTCTGAAAATATCATTTTCTTTTTTGCCGGACACTAAAATAACCTGAATGACAATGGCTTGCCAAATTATTTTTGTTAAGCCTTTCTATGAAACAAATATATAAATATAACTAAAAACAGAGGAAAAAATCAGCACTTCATATGACTGAGTAAATTTAGGTTGTGCCTAATAATCTCTCAGTGTTAGAGGCTGGGCTTTTGAATGTCAGATTTCATTCTAATACAGATATAACTGATTTTTAAGCTCTTGGAAAATAGACAAAGTATTAAAAATGGCAGCTTACTTATCCAGGCTGTTTTGAGTACTGCTTTTAGTAAGAATTGCTTTGTTGGCTTCTGCGTTTTCAGATAAAGGTTTGTACACTGTAGTTGTTTCTAATTTAATGGCACACCCAAGTGGCAAAGAAGTGTAGATGCCTCTAAATCAGCAGCATGAACTCTGCATCTGGGAACCTTTATACTGTCGTGTTGCCAGCAAATGAGAATTCTGCTGGTTAAGCAAGTGTTCTTCTGCCAGCTGCCAAAGAAAGTGTTGTGAGATGCATTAACTCTGAGTGTGGTTTCATGATTAGAAAATGAGACTAGAAATTGGGAGGTCTGGATTTTGTTTCCAGCACTGCCACAGAATTGCTTTCTGACTTTGTACAAATACATTAAGATTTGATCCTGAAAGATCTGTAGCTCCTCCCTCTGGTGCAGAGGGTGTTCAAACGATATACACCTTCACCCATGGGAGTGAATACAGTGTGGTGTTTTTAATGTTTGTTTTTTAAATAAAAGCAAATCTGGCCAATCCTAGTTGAAGAAACTGCTGCCTGTTGTTTTAGAAAGAATGGAGTGCTAGCCAGTTGAATCCCCAATTTACATACAGTTATACACTCAAGGTATATTTTTTTTCATTTGTCGTTTATAGGAAACGTGACTATGAAGGGTTTCTGTGTTCGCTACTGTTGCCTGCAGAATCCCGCACTTCTGCTTTTGCACTGAGAGCCTTTAATGTGGAACTGGCTCAGGCAGGTATTGAAATAGAAAGTAAGAAGTTCAAGACTCTTAAACTGTGCTACAGAGAAGTGTTATATGCTGTGATTAAAGTTTCATGTTGCAAAGAGTAATGACCAAATACTTCAACATAAACCTCCAACTCCAAATGCCCCTGGAGAGAGACTGTGGGTGCTTGGAATCTGTGCTTGGTTTTGAACTGTGCAGCTGCCTCTGATCTGTAAAGGGTCAAACCAGAAATCTTGAGGATAGGTTTGTTCCCAGCTTGGCAGAGACTAAGTAACAACAAATCTGCCAGGAGAGAAGTTTGCAATTAAATAAATAATAAAAAAGAGTGATTGTAGTCTCTCTGCAATGTAGCCAGAGCCCACAAGAGTGAGTAATGCTTGCCAGAAAGACCCAACTAGAAAAGCCAAGGGGATGTGTTGATTAAGTACAATTCCATGTTGGGCTTTACTGCCAGGTCTCTTGGCAAATGGATGGTAGAATTTAATGCTGCCCTTGCTAAAATAGAAGTGGGAACCTTGCCTGTTCTGTGAGGTTAATGTCCCTCTGGGCTGAGTGGCAGACTTCTGTGTCAGCAGAAAGCAGAACTGGGCCAGGACAAAAATTTTGTAGATTTGAAATCCGGATGCAGATTTTATGGCTTAACCTCATCTCATGTAATAAGGAGAAAAATTTAGGAATCAGAAGAATGACATGTTGAACCCTTGAAATGTGTATTTTGTATCAGGCTACAGCAGGGGCAGGCAATTATTTTGGGTGGAGTTTTGGCCAGCTATCGAGGGCCGTGTGAAAGGCAGCCAGGGGCAGATAAATATTAATTTTCTAAATTTTTTGGGGGTCCCACGGGTCAGACAGAATGGCTTGGCTGGCTGCATCCACCCAGTGGGCCGCATTTTGCCTACCCCTGGGCTACAGGCATATAAAACAGGGGAGTTGGGTAGAGATTGCTGCTCTTGAGTGCACATCATCTGGCCCTTTGTGTTTCATATATCAAGTGTTTCGTGTGTGCTCCTGTCCTACAGTAAATGAGGCTAACTGGGACAGCTTAAACTGGAACAAAATGGCTGCTAATTTGCCATGGTTTAGTTTCCACTTAATGGATAAACACTTAAAATAGCTGCAGGAAATCAGCTTAAAAATACTAAATTTTTTCCTGTTGGCTCAGCATAATTTCACTTGTCTATAATCTCAGTGATTGAAACAACACACAAATCTAAGAATTGGTAAAATAAATACAAGTGTAATACACTTGTCTTTTGAAATTAGTATTTAATAGCTTGTTCAGGTTATTTGAGTTTTTTACATGTGATCTGGTGTTTTGTTAGAGAGTGACTAAACTGAAACATAAATTAAAAGGTTGCTTTAATGTATAGGAAGATTTGGGCAATACGTTAGCTCCTCTTTGTGAAATATTTCTGTTTCTCTAAGACACTGGCTTTGGGGAACAACTTATCTTTAATGATAATTAGTAGTTATTAAGCTTGTTAGAACACCACACAGCTAGCAAGAGACTGATAATGCCTGTCAAATGCAAAAAAGTCAAATGCTATAACATTAAACTGTAGCATATCCTCTTGAACTGCTTAAACTTAAAATCAGCAGTGTCAGGAAATTTAGCTTATAAAACACCTGGAGAAATATTTAAAAATAACACAGCTCACAAGCACTTGGCATGCTATGTTCAGGGGCAAAACCCCATCTCTGTTGTTTTACCCACTGGGTTTTGACATTGGCTTTAGAGGGGCCAGGACTTAATTCCTCTGTCTTGAAAGCTTCCGCTTGCAGCTCCAGTTCATTTTCATGGGCTTGAAAATAAGGCTATGTTTAGCCAACTGTCTGCAGTTCCTATGGTGGAGATCAAGTCAGCATCTTTGGGTAGGCATTTAGAATCTTACAGATGTAGGCTTACAGGAGCTGGGCGGCAAATGATTTAACATTCTGCTTTACACATTAACACACATAATTGAAATCTGGCATTGCAGCTTGGCTGGCAGTCTTGTTGATAGGGAATGTCAGTATCAAATTTGTTTTCTTCAGCAGTTGAGATTTGGGCCCAATTATGAAAGCCTTCAGTGCTTTAGTGGCTTCCCATTGGAGTTGTGAAAAAGCACATTTATACATCAGAAAAATTATATGGAATATGTTGGGATTTTTTTCTCCCACATGTTTTACATATATTTAGACTGTCATTTTGTTGGGGAAAATGACTTTTCTAAATGCAGTGTTTCCAAATAGGAGCCTTGGGCATTGTTATAGTATAGGTATTGTATGGTAACACCTACGTGTGCTCCATGGCACAGCAGATTTAGCAGTCAGTAAATGTAGTGGATATGACTTGGAAGATGTTTAAAGACCAATTTTACAGAAAACCAAGCACCATCTTTAATGAATTATTTTTCTCAAAATCTTTTGTCTGTTTTTTTTGTAATAAGATAAATTCCTCCAGGAGGCAGAGATTTTTGTAATATTTTTATTGGACCCACTGTTGACTTGGGACAGCAGTTGGACAAGTTTTTGGGCATAGAGTGCCCTTGCTAAGGTCTGAACGGAAGACTAAAATTTCACATTATACTTGTTTTCCAGATTAAAGATTCTATAACACAGAAGACTACAGGTTTGATGCGAATGCAGTTTTGGAGGAAAGCTGTGGAAGATATATACTGTGATAACCCACCTCATCAACCGGTTGCTATAGAACTATGGAAAGTAAGATATGTGTTCCATTTCCAAAAATCAACTTGAATGATTCTTTTCTTTTTAAAAGTTTGCAGTTTTATATGTATTTTGCTGCCTTCTAGCTCTGTTTTGTATTATACAGATAATGGACAATAGGGATGGGTGGGATACTGAGAACAGTTTAGAAGCCAAACAGGCAAGGTTGGACACTGATGAGGCTGATACCTAGGGAGGAGTTACTAGGAAAGTGTAGCTGTTAGTTGGGACACTGTTGATTAGAGAATTTGACTTCTAGCCACCGAAGGACAAAATAGTTAGTGACGAGTATAAAATTGGTACGAGCTAGAGTTTTTAAATTAAGTTGCCTGAGCCAGTCCTTCCTAAAAGGAGATTAGGCGCTGAAGGAAGGCAAATTAGTTTGAGCATAGAGACTAATACAGAAAGTAGAACATGCTTAACAGCTACAACTGTAATGTACAATATGTGGCTTTTCAAAGTTGTGACTCCCTAATGAGCTGGATAGGGGATAATGGACCTTGCCCAAAGCATCATTCTGCTTTGTATGCTGAGTTATGTGGAAAGTTGTGGTATGAATTTGCCTATTGATTTTCATACACCTTCTCCAAGACACCTCCTGTGCAACTTTATGCTAGCACTAGAACTCTGTACACCAGCATACCTGCAGTTTAGCACATTCACTGGCTGTGATTGAGGACATAAAAATCTGTTAATCAAACCTGTTCACTGTAGTTGGGACCCCACTATTTCAGAGGGTAGATGAATGCCTGTACTTCACACAGGTGTAACAGACCTTTGCTGGATGCTGTCATGCTTCTATGTAGCTCTGACTTCCAGCTGGGACAGGTTGTTTTAAGACCAGAGACTGATCCCTAAGAGAGATCACAGGGTAACTGTATCAAGATCTCTAAGCTGAGAGACCAGGAAAGAGGCTACCAGTGACCTTGGCTCTGATGAGGCTCTTCATGCCTCTTCCCATCCAGGGGACATAACCTCTCTAGATCCAAGCAGCTAATCAGGCAGCGGAAAGCCTCATTTGCCTAGGGAAAGTCAGGTTACTGATAATCCAGTAAATGTTGCTACAGAAAAATGGACACTGTATCTTGGACTCTCCATCCAAGGAGCCATCCACCTCTGACATACCTGGCAGCCAAGAGAATAGGGAAACACGCTGGAATTGGAGTTGCCACACTACAAGTCTTGTTAGAGAAACGGATTCCACATCTGCAGTCTGCTTTGTCTCTTGGGATGGATCAGAGCACTTTCAAAATCTCATACTTGTGATTTTCGGCATTGCTGGGTTGATGGCCCCTTCTTGTATATGTTTACTTCAGGGTTACAACCAAGCACGTGTTTCTGTCTATCAACAGTTGCATTTAAATTATACTTACAATCATATTTCAATGACAGAAAGTGCTTTCTTAAGAAAGAGAAACCACTTGCAGTGCTAAGAAATAAAACAAAGACAAATTTCTGCTTGTCTCACCTGTAAGAGATCCAGTGCAATTCTTGGATGCCTTGGACTCAAATGAAATACATGTGTGTTAGCCACAGCAAAGCTCTAACACAGTGGTTCTCAACCTTTTTTAGATTTGAAGCACACCTCATTAAACTTGATACACCCCTCAGAAAATGCCAAATCTTAGTGTTAACTAATTTTTTGACTACAGAAAAAGAATAGAGCAATTTCTCTGTTGCAAGCAGCTCAAAAGACCACAATAGGTCAGAATGTTTTTAATGCTATGGATTCTTATTTGAAATCTATTGTTTATCTTGTGAATTGCGTTTTCAGACCTAACAGTGCTAACATTGTGTGTCATCCTGGGGCACCCTTGAAAGTATCTCAAGGCACCATTTTAACACATTTAAAATGGTGCAGGAAATCACTCTCAATCACAGCTGGGAGCTGCACTTTTGTCTGTACCCAAAATGCCAAGAGTTAGAGCACCCCCCAACCCAACAGATGTTTGCCTGTTGGGTCATGGGGAATGAATCTGCCTGCACTGAACCCTTCCTGAACTGCCCCTCTGTCCAGCCCCATCCCCCACCCTTCCTGTTAAAATGAAAGCTGGTGGACATATTAGACTTTAGTAATAGACGGTAGATTCATAGTTCCACTAGGGCAGACTAGGGGCCCTTGTAAAGGTTAATATTTTGTATTGGTAACCTTCCATGGTAGTCTGTATGCACCTTTTTGCCTCTTATTTGCTTTCTGTCGCTGTTCCAGTACATGGCAGACTGCCCAGGAACAAGCGAGTTTCTTTGTTTGCCCAAAGAAGTCTTTGTCTTCTTTCCAGGAAGGGACTTCCTCTAGCAAAGCCTAACTCTTTTTTTCCTTTCCAAAGCTTCCCTTCTGTGTGGTTGTGTGAATTGAGTAGCTTCAGTGGCTTTGAACATGTCCAAATGTGGTCTTCCTAACTCTCTTCATTGTTGGGGTGTGACCTGTATAAAAAAGGGATTTCTTTTGTGAGAGTAAGTCTCACAAATGTCACATTGATAAAAATACATACATGATGCACATATGGGTAGGCCTGCTGTCAGTCATCCTGCTGCTCTTTCCAAATTGCAAATCAATTTGGGAATGTAGTAGAGGAGGGAACTTACCTGGTTCCTGCAACAAGAGCTGCTCTCATTCCTGGCTTCTCTGGAAGTTAGCAAATGCATGAAACATTCTAAACAGATTTGATTTTCAAACAAGCCAGTGAACCAGATCTTCAAAAGATTAAAAGCATTTTGTGAAAGCTCCATCTGCTCTGGTGAAGGGTAGGAATATTGAGGCAAATGGACAGTGTCATTGGATTATGCTGTCACGGTGCACTCTTCCTAATTCCTGAATTTGCGACTTTACCTCCTATATGTCTGCACACACCAGGGATGATTCTACTTTTGCATGACTCGGTCTTCATAGAAAGTAATTGCTGAAAAAGACAGGTGGTTAGACAGATAAAATCATTAGTGCAGGCAGTACACAAAGAATAGTTTGAAAAAGCAGTCCAAGTTCATGGATAGCCCTCAGACCTGGTGTTATAGACCAATTGAAGGAACTTCCTTAGTTAATATAATTGCTAGGCTTTTGATAGCCATCTGGCATATGATTTCCAGCTTTTCACTGCATTTTAGCATACGTATTGGCAGCGAGTGGCAGTTTTGTGAGCTCCCACATGCTGGCTGTGCTGACATAGCAGTTCTGGGAGCTGTGATGTCTGGGGTTGAACAACTACTGGCACTGATGCAACAGCTCTGGCAGCCATGGCCTGAAGCCTTGCCGAGTGGCTGCAGTCCACTAACTCATTTGAGTGTGACACCTCTGATACATAGTACACACACATTTGTTCTGAAGATTCACATGTAAAATCTTTTTCTTTATTGCGTATCTTAAGAAATGATACTCTCTTTTTCAAAGAGAACAAAGTGTTTTGTAAACATTTTGTGGGATTGTAATGAGTAAAATGTGGAGACTTTAAATTACATTTTAAAATAAGTATTTATGCTTTCTCTTTCATTTGCCTAATAGGTTTGATTTTCAGATTCTGCTTTATTTCAGCAGTTGTAGGAAGGAGAGACTTCAGTTGAAAAGTTTTAGAATGGAGGAGCAGTTTTCTTTAAACTTTTCCATTGACCTGTCACTACCTTATTTTTCCTTCTTGACTTTACTTAATCAATACTGTGCAAACCAAATCTGACTCTTAATAACCAAAAAAATCATTTTTATAAAACAAAAATTTGAAAATTATGACAAGTTGTGATTAAGGGTGTAATTTTCTAAACTGTAACAGAGGTTTCTGATCATTTCCAGGCTGTCAAAAAACATCAGTTGACTAAAATGTGGCTTATGAAGATCATTGATGAACGAGTAAGTAATTCTCGTCTGCTGTGTGTATTTGAAGTTTTTCTGTCCTATTTGATTTTTGTTAATCGTATGTATCTAACCAAAATAGTTCTTTTCTTTTCCGCATAGTAGTATTCAACCCTTTCAGTAGTAGGGCCCTCTACCCATTACATATGATGGAATACTTGGTTAATTGCACAAAATACATTTATACCAGCCACACATGTGAAATAATTATCATGTGATAAAAATGACTGTCCAGATACAAAAAGAGCCAACTAGCCTATAAGATTAGTGTTTGAAAAGTGTAACAGCTCTATGGCTGGTTTCTATCCATCTTTAATGTGAATGTGTAGCAGGGCCTTATTTGCCCTCTGCCCTGGCATCCTATACTTTCTTAAATTTCTCCCTTGGTTAAAAAAGGCCACTCCTCACAACTCCATTTTAATATGTCACCTGTCTTTTTGGCCAGCATGGGAGGACAAAACACCATGTTTTGTTTTAAAAAATAGCATTCATGAAAGGATGGAGGATGACAGCTCTGGAAACTCTTAATTTTTTTTGTACAATATCACTGTGTGCTTTCCAAGGCCACCATGTAATTAAGTCTCAGTCTTCACCTGGAGTGATTACATCTAGGGTACCAAGGTCTTAAGTTGTGCTTAGACTTTGTGTCAGCCCTAGAGAGTTTTGCCCTAGAAATTAGACCGTCAGTCCGTATCCACTGTAGGATTCCAAGAGATACAATTTCATGAAACTCTTGAGAAGTCGAAGTTAAAAACTCTTTTTAGATAGTTTTTTAAAATCATTATTTTACTGTATACTTATACCCTCTTACTGTCTGCTCATATCCAGTTGGCTTTTAGAAATTAATTTAGAACATTTTTGTATAGTTTTGTACTAAGGCAAGATGCAGACTCAGCTCAAATGTCAGGATTTCAGATTACATATATCTTGGTATTCACCTGACTACCATTTTTACTGGAGTATCTGAGCAGCTAATAATCTTTAATGTTTTTATTCCCAGAACTCATAGGAGAGGAAGGGAAGAACTATATTTCCTATAGGACATACAGGGCGTATCTACACGTGACGCTACGTTGCTGCAGCGATGCATTATGGCAAAGTAGCGTCCGGGGTATCTACACATGACCAGCAGCTACTTTACCATAGCGGCGAGCTCCCCTGCGATAGTACGCCACTACAACGAAGTAGCTGTTAGAGATAACCATGTGCCGTGTGTACAGCACGGTATAGGCAGTTACTGTGCCGTGCTTTAGTACTTCGAAAAGGAAGTACTAAAGCATGGTACAGTAACAGTGTCACTGTAGGGCAACGTGTAGACATGCCCATTGGGAACTAAGGCACATGGAGACAAGTGATTGGCACAGGGTCACACAGGGAGCCTCTAGTGAATCAGGCAATTGAATCCTGTTTTCAAGTCCCATCCTTGTGTCTTAGTCGCTGGTGTGTACCTGCTGTGAAAGCATTTTAAACATCACAGCAGAGGACCATTCTCTCATCTGCAGTATTATCTCAATGAGATGGAAACCTCAGTTACTGATACAGTTGGTGTAAATATGCTGTATAGTATCTTCATAAAACTAAGGTTATGATTCTGAGGCAACTTTGCATAAATAATTATAGCTGTTTTCTTGTTACTTCAGCATTGCAGAAGGGGAATTTAAATCCACAGAAATTGTGGTGTCTACATTAACTGTATCTGGTTGTGGTCAGACATGTTGTTAAACATGTACTTTAATGTTATGACTGCATGTATATGTGTATCCTCTTTACACTTCCTTGTGTACATTACCTTTGTTACCTACATAGTAATGAGGGGCTATGTTGATTTGCTTATTGAATCAAATGGCCTATACTTACACTGGAATGTAGATTCATCCTCATTCATGTTCCATGGTCCAACTACAGGAAAAAAATTTGGATGATAGAGCATATCGTAACATCCAAGAGCTTGAAACTTATGCTGAGAACACTCAGAGCGCTCTCTTATATCTCACATTGGAAATGCTGGGTATGTGCTTCCTTATTTTTACTAAGAGTTTATCAGCTCCACTATTATTGCTTCTACATTTATGAAATAATGGTGGACTTTTGTAAGTGCTGAGCATTTAGCTTGATTCTGCTTTCACTAAACCCAAAGGTTTGCTGTAGTGGAAGCATGATTTGGCCATGTCCCCATGAGCAGGGGCGTGTTTGCAGCAGTATTTGTGCCGCTACTTTGTGCTGCAGTGCATGCTCCTGCTCATGTGGTTTGCACAGCGGGACACATTGTCCTGCTGCTTCACATACTGCAGGGGGGCTGGCTGGGGTACAGGGTGCCTCACTGCGGGGTAGACAGCAGGCAGCCTCTATGCTGACACACCCTGTGCCCCAGCCAGCTTGGAAGTGGCACATGGAGACGGGATCAAGCAGCACAGGGCGTACTCCACGTTTGTCCTGGCACACTGCACTTTGATGTGCTTTGGGTCCTCCTTTCTTTTTTTTTTAGGGGTTTTTTTGTATGCTGTTGGGAAATCCCCCAAGTTTTGCCCCCATGCTGTAAATTAGCAGTGTGGGACATGATTTAATGTGCAACACTTGCACTTGTGGCATGGCAAGTAGGTTTGTGGTGCCACAAACTGCGTGTGCCTGCACATCTGGATCCTTTAATGCTTTGCAAAATTTGTCCTTTAATCTTTGAAATTGAAATTGAATTTAGTGCAGACAGCATAAACATGCGTATCTTACTTAAATGTAACTGCAGTGAGTATAAACATAAATTAAACTCCAAAGTGTAGGCTAACTGCATAGTCTCTTAGTCATTGAAACAGAAGTGTAGTTATTTAAAAAAGGAAAAGGCAGTGAAGATTGTAAGGGCTTTGTGGTTTAGACTGTGTCTGTCTGTATATTGCTGAACACAGTGGACCTTTGTGTAAATAGGAAGCAATAAAGTGAGGACTACCCAGATAGTTCTTGAATCCTGAACTATTAGAACCTATACTTCTAGCACTGCTAGTAAGAGTCTACCCCATGTTTTGGGAAAAGATCTTCCTGATAGTCTGACTTCCCTATTTTAATTAGATCATATTTTAGAGAATTCTAGATTGTTCATGTTGGTCTTGGAATTCCTTCCTTCCTCTCCCCTCCCTTTACCAGCTATGTTATTTCAGGTGAATTTGGCAAAAGTAGAAGCCCAGCCTTCTCCCTTAGGACTCAGGGTCTCTCCCTCCCAAATCCAGATATGTAGCAATTACAATAATAAAATAATTATGAATTTGAACAAGACCTCATTGAAAACAGGTGTATCTAAATTAGACTAGTTACATTAGTACCTTATGTATAATTTTGCAATGTTACATTGTAGGGAAGTTTCTCCCCACTGGACTCTATCCAGTTTCTGTGCCCTTTTAAAGTGAATATTCTTGCTTCATGTTGTTATTAATCTTGCACTATTTCTACTGTTTAGCCAGAATTATCTGAATTTAAATCCTGTCTACCAGAGTGTGTGCAACCCCCCTCCTTTCCCTTCCCAGTTTGACTTTATCTATGAATAATAGAAATGTACTCTTTAGTCCAATCTCCAAATTCTTAATGAAAATTTCAAACAGTATTGGACCCAAAGCAGATCTCTGTTGGATCCCACTTGAAATGCCCTCTTAATTTGACACTGAGGCATTGAAAATTACTCCATAAGGTCCTTTCTCCTTCCCCTTCCCCCCTGCAACTGCTTGTAAACCCATGTTATAGTAATTTCATCTAGACTAGACATTTGCAATTTAAGGTGCAGGGTCCAGATTGGTTTGTAAAGGTGGTGGTGGGAGGAGTCATGGAGCAGTGGCAGCTGCCAGGTCACAAGCGGTGGCCTGCCTTCAAACTTACCTTTCTTAATTTGGCTAACCATTGCTATTAGGTTGCCAGCCCTTGAGCTAGAGCATATTTCTGTAGTTTGTTTATGAGACCTGAAAGATGGGGCTGTCAGAAGCCCTACTAAAATTAATGTATACCTCATATACTGCTTCCTTACCCTCTGCTAGGCTGCTTATCCCAGGAAAGAGGGAAATTAGAATGGTTTGATAAAATTTGTAACAAAGTTATGAACTTGTTGGCTTTTTCTGATTACCTTGTTATCCTTTATGGTTTTAAAAATTATCCATCAATTTGTTCCAATAGTTTTCAGGTATCAAAGTTAATCCGACGTGTCTGTAATTCCATGGATCTTCTTTTTTCTCCTTGTTAACTGCATCTTTCCACAAAGCCTCTTTAATGAGTTAAAGCAAGGGTTGGCAACCTTTTCAGGCTGTGGTCTGGATTGACCCAGTTCAGGTCAGAGGTAGTCCAGTGCCGTAGGTTGCCAACCCTCTAACCCAGGGGCTATTTAAAATGTTGGTCCTGCCCTGGATTGATTCTGTGCCTTAGTATTGTTGCTGGCCAGGAGTCTTTCGTCCAGATGATTTTCTGGTAGGAAATGGAATGTCCAAAAACTCAAAACATTCTCTGAAAAGTTGTCTTTGATCATAGGCACTGCCTGCAGTAGGGACTCTCTAGTTTTGTGGCTGTACTGGTGCATTAGGGTAAGGTACCCCAACACAAGTCAGCTTCTGTGCTGATGTATGGGGGTTGTACTAGGGGGTTGAACATGTGCAGCTGTGTTGCACCAGCAGTGCTAATGCAAAAAGTCAAATGTAACTAGTGTTAAGAGATTTCATTCCAGAATTAAAAAATCATTGTGCTACTTCAGAACTTTCACTTCTGAGGTATTCACAAATTGCTTCAAGACCTAATACTGTTTAAGATTTAGGTTTACCTGTGCCCTAAGCAAAAAACAATTGTGCGACTTTCGTAAGACTCATTACTATGTTAACTAATGGTGGGGCAGCCTGAGTACATGTAGTTTATAACTTTTATGTCTGCAAACACAGGTGTGAGGGACATCCATGCAGATCATGCAGCCAGTCATATTGGGAAAGCACAGGGTATAGTCACCTGCTTGCGAGCAACTCCATATCACATCAACAGAAGAAAGGTTTTTCTCCCTATGGACATTTGCATGTTGGTAAGAAAATACTGACTGGAAACAACCAATATACTGCCTCTAACCTGTACTTCTCAGTTCTTGATACAAGAACATGTTATTAGATTACAGAATCATTGAAAAGTAGGTCTGGAAGGAACCTCAGGAGGCCAACTAGTTCAACACCCTGCTTCAGGCAAGATCATTTTTCTCTAAACCATCTTAGATGGGTGTCTATTTAATCTGCTCTTAAAAACTTCCAAGGTTGGAGATGCCACAACCCCTCTAGTGTACCTGTTGTTTAATTACCTTCATAGAGAGATTTCTTCCTAAATCAGAAAGTAAGTGTCAATCTCCTGCTTCCTTTTAGTAGGAGAATATTCACTTTCTGTGCCTTAGTCTCCCTACCAGGTGCCCTCTGCCATAGACCTGGTATTTGTCCTTTTGCTTTATTTCTTTTGGGAGGTAAGATTAGAGTGATTTATTTATGTTTATTTTAGCTCTTTTGGTTTTTTTTTCTTAAATCCAGTAGCAGTTTTGCTAAAAGATTTGCTTTCCACCCTCACCCTTAGGGTCCAGGCAAGTATGGGAGAAGGTACTCCCCAGCCAAGGAATTAAATCTTAAACCAGTTATTCCCTTCTCCTCCCCCACCGATAGGTGCCACCAAAGTAAGGGCTTTATTTCTTTGCTCAGAGTGGCATTTGATAGCAGTGGGTTAGCACACCCTGCCTTCACCCCAGCTCCTTTGCCTGCTCTGCTCTGCCAGAGTTCATAGTAGCCAAAACCCTAGAGCCCTTGTCCTCTGGCTTTGTCCTCTGGCTCCTTCCCCTGCTTCACACAGCTGGAGCCTATAGCTGCCGGAGTTGCAGAATAGCAGTGGCCACGTCAGCATCTCCTGCTTCTGTTCTGGCATCTCCCCAATTAGTGTCTGAGGTTTGTGTCCTCCTTACTCACCCCTAATTATGCCACTGAGTGACAGAAAGTTGCAGAAACAAAAAGTAACCTGGCAGCTATCAGAATTTTCTGGTTCCACTTCAATCCATGTTTCTGTGTTCCCATGTTCAAACATAGCAGAATTGTGTAGTAAGGACAGTGTTGAAAAAACTTGTTAGCTAACATGATGCTGAACATGTCCTGATCTGCATTAAGCAGGAACACTTGGTCAGCGTTGTCAGTTAGCACAGTTTCATGTAACTGTTCAAACATGGTAACATTTTGTAATACATGCCCAGCTATATGGCAGTATCTTGCTTCATGAAACGGACCCTCTTTTTCCCCAGTAACCATCCCTGATATTTTTCTTTCTTTTTTCTGCCTAGCCTCTTGTGGTCTGTCTTTTTAACTTGGCCTACAAGTAACTGATTACAGATTTCCAAAACTTAAATTCTAGCTCAGTTATCCGTACTCACTAGAAGATATTTAGAGATCCAGTTTATTCAAAGACTCAGTTGATACCCTTCCTTCCCTAGAGTTTGCCTCCCATTGACTAACTTTAAAAAACATGTAATAAACATTTAGGATATTTTATATGGGTTGGTAGTCTGGTTGCCAGATTTTTGTGTTTTTCTTAAACTTTTGTTAAGATGAAATGTGAGATTTGTGGTGTTTTGTTTTTTTGTCCCGCCCCGCCCCCCCTTGCTTTCAGCATGGTGTTTCACAAGAGGATTTCATAAGATGCCATCAAGAGAAAAATGTGAGAGATGTAATTTATGACATTGCCAGTCAGGCACACATCCATCTAGAACACGTGAGCTTCCTCTCTTTGTTAATATCATAATCTGTGTTAATTTTCTGGAATGTTTTCATAATGTGGTTTTGGATGGTGTGTCTCATTGGATACACATAATTCCAAAGATTTTAAAAACATTTTGCCTTTCCAGTTGGAGTTGATCTGTGAAGTTTAGTGTCTAAGCTAACTCAGCCCTTGTTAACTTTGCTAACATGATTATTTTTGAGGAGTGCAGCCTTGTGCTTTGACATTTATGGTACAGAATAAAAGGCACAAAAATGAACTAAAAACTTGCTTTAAAACTCACAACGTGAACTCTGAATGGGTGCTGTCAGAGGACATGCAGGGCAGGTTTTCTGAATGGGTGCTGTCAGAGAACATGCAGAGCAGGTTTTCCCCATTGAGTTCAAACTCTGTGCAAAAGGACTAACTGAAGTCTTGTTGTGAGAGATGCCCTGGACTTAGGTACTGTTTGAAGCTGCTAAGTGTCTGTGAAGCGTGCCAGACATTCTTGGCCAAAGCAGTACTTCAAAAGCAACCTTGAAGAAGAAAAAATTGTTGCATTTTGAGCCACTTCTGAAACATCTGCACTCTCTAGCAGTCATCCAGCATCTCACAGTTTTCTGCTGCTCTCCCCTATCCTCAGAGGTGGTTGTGGGGAGAGAGTAGGGTAGACAGCCAATCAGCACTTCTCTGTGTATTCAGCTGTCCTCTGGAAACTCTGGAGACCAGAGGCTGAGGTATACAGGGAGTCCTGCTCTTCAGCCCTGACTGAAGATCAGTGCCACTATATGCTTTTGCAGATTTGATGCACATTGATATGCCAGAGGGCACATGCATCTGCACAGCACTGTAGACTCAAATTCTGCAATGGGCTGCAAGGGTGTGTCTGCACAGATCCCATTCCAGGATCAGCACCACAGATGGCATCTATGCAGGAACTGCATCATGAATTTTATCGTGCAGGTGCAACAGCTGCCAGGAATACAAAATATTTTGCATTTTACTGCCAAACACTTTTTCCTGAAAAAGTGTGATACCATACACTGAGCTGTACTGGGACTCTTTCATGGATTGCTTTTCCCTCAAGCCAGCCTGATTAGAATAACTGTCAAACAAGCATTATAAAAGATTTTTTTTCACAGGGATCAGGTTATCTGTGTAGATCAAGGTCGGGCAGTTATTTGGGCCCAGGAGCCATATAGGGAGCTTTGGTGAGTTATTGCAGACTGGGTGAGCCCACTGCTCCCCATACTGTAACAACTCACCAAAACTCCCTATGTGGGATTTTGCTGTGGGTGGGCAGGGAGTGGTGTTCAGGAGTGGGATGGGCAGGCAAGCCTAGGATCATGGGGTGGAGTTGCAGGGTGTTGACAACATGGGGCTGGGGCCTGGGACAGAGTTGTGATCTGCTCCCTACCTGCCTCTGCCCTGTGAGAGGGTGCAGGAGGTGTGTGTGTTGGGGGGGAGCGCTGCCTGGGTGCTAGGGCCTGGGAGCTGGCCAGGGATGAGGGGAGGGGGCAGGGGGTGCATGCAGCACAGCTCATCCGGGCGATGCAGTCTGCGGTTGTCCCCATGGCATTCTGCATGGGGATGAGCCCTGCCTACTCCCACCTGGGACAGCTTGTACCATGCTGCACCACTCTGCTTGCCTGGCATGGGTGACTGAGTGAGTGGAAGGCAGCCAAGAGCTGGAGCCCCACATGCTGGGGCAGGAGCTGTCTGGCTGAAGTTTCCTTTCTGCCTGGATTGGTGCGGCAGGGGCAGGAGCAGGAGGAGGAGCTGCTGCTGGAGGCAAAGGGAGCCAAGCACCACCCAGGTGGCTGCAGCCATATTGGGAGCAGCAGCCCTGCTGGTAAACTGCGCATTGGCCCAGACTGGGGCCTGTGGGCGTGGGCAGGAGCACAGCATGGGCTGTCCCCAGTGGGACTCAGTGCCATGTGGAGTGCCGCAGGGGCTTATGTGGGCCTGATCCAAACAATTGGTGGGCTGTATCTGGCCCGCAGGCTGTATTTTTCCCACCCTGGTGTAAATTCTAATTTAGGATCTACACAGAGACCTCTTTTTTTTTCTTCTCCGTTTGTTTATCTCCATCATTTAGGGAGGTCATATAGCAAAATCAGCCCAGTTAGGGTGCTTGGGGACAGCTGACTCTGAGTACCCCTGCTGAGATAGACAGTTCTGCAGTTAACATGTTAACAGCTGTGGTGGTTGCAATTGATAATAAGGATGATGCTACAGATCAGTCAGCCCTTCAGGAAACCTGGGTGGGGTGGAGGGTCTGTGCTATCTAGGACAGAAAAATTGCTGTTCCAGACTGGTGCCAGGGGCATAGCCAGTCTATTATTCCCTCCTCCCCTGCTTCCAGTCCCCTCAACTCCAGTCAGACTGTGCACCTGAAAGGATCCCAGCAGAAGACTGTAGGGACCCTGTCAACTTGGTATCCTTCTGTGCTTCTTCCTGCTACCTCAACTTAGCCCCACAGACCTGTGTATCCTAATACACCCATGCCCTCCTTGTCCCCATTGCCCCAGATCAGTCAGATCAATTTAACCTACATGGTCAGTTGTGCCCATCAAGTCTGGGACTGGGCCAAAAATGTTACTGTGAGGAGGGTGCTTCCCTGATGCAGAGTTGTTCACTAGGGTGGTGGTGTGGACATGTTCTAATTCCTGGGATTTCTGGGACAGCTGGGTGGGCAGCTGTCTGCACTGGGCCCTGGGTTTTGTGCTCATGCCCATATAAACAGAGCTGTCTTTAGGGGTGTGCAGGGCTCAGGGCATATCAGCCTGTGCAGGGCCAGGGTGCAGAGGGGGAATGGAGGTGGGCGACTGCCTGCAGAAGCTGGCAGTGGTAGCAGCAGGGCCTGTGCGGTACTGTCTGTGGGTCTCCCAAAGTGCGGGGCCTGATTCTCTCCCCCCAGGCATGGCTCTGCATATGAAAATGGCTGGCAGTGGAGCATGTGGGCAGTGAGCATGGTGAGTAACAGGCATGGGATGAGAGGCTGGGGGGAGGAGGGGTCCTTGTGACCCTGTGACTAGAGCCAGCCACCCTTTAGGACACTGCAGGATTTCTTGGAAATCAGCTGAGCTTCTCTGAGAGATGGTGAATGGTGCCAGCAAGGCAATCCAGGCTGGCCCAGCCCACAAGGTAGTGAGCAGAACAGCCGTTTTGGGGAATATCCCAGTTGGGACATCTAGAGCTCTGCTGCAGAACTCAGAAGATAAAGGCTCTTCCTTCAGAGCACCCAAATGGGGAGGACCTGTGAGTGCTGTACATGGCTCTTGAGGGAGGATAGCATTTAGTGGTTAAAGCAGGAGAGGCCTACTGGGAGACAGGATACTGGTTTATTTCCCTGGCAGTGGAATTTAGTCCCGAGAGGGACTGAATTTAGGATTCCTGGATTCCATCCCCCTGCTTAGAGAGGACTGTGGAAGCCAGTATATGCTTATTTTGCCACATATAAAAATAAAATACAATGAATATGCTTATAAAAGTATGTTGGAACACCAAACAAGGAGGCATTAGATTTTTCTAAGCCAAGTAGTTGGAAAATACTTGGGAAAATGTCGTGCCATTTTTCTTTCAAAATCTTTCTCAAAAGTGGCTGAAGTATTGTTTTAGCTGAAACTTTCCAAAATATAAAATGAAAAGGGTGGTGTGGAGGGAGGGAGGGAAAACACTGCTCAAGGAAGATACTAAGGAGAATAAATTGCAACTCTTAGTTTGGCAAATACATACATGTAGCTGAAAACATAGACAGGTTGGGCAGCCTTAGCTACAGGTGGCAATACAAGGGTTCACTATAACCTAATATCAATAAATAAGAAATTGCAGCTCCAGGAACAATTCCCCTTAAAAAATATCAAGCACAAGGATGCATTCAACAAGGTAAATCTATTGACGGGATTGCTCTTGATATTTGTGAATATTTTCATCTGTCACTCTTGATGTTATCTCCAAGAAGACCTATGTACAGCATGGCCAATGCAAGTAAAGAAATAGATGCAATTAGAACAAATATAATTGACAAGAAATAACTGAATATTATAGGGCAAAGGAATGTATTTGAGCAAGGAAAATTAATTTTAAAATGATCACATGTAAATAATACATTTAAAAAATGACTGTTCAAATACAATTGTACACATAACTTTGCTCTACAATTCTTGTTTAATATCTGGATTGATTCCTTTTTAAAAATCCTAAACTAAAAAATTAGCAATTGTCAGCCAGGGCACTGAGGTACCCAGAGGTGCTGCAAGATCCTTTGGAGGGTGCCCTGGGATGTGAGGTGATCAGCTAGGTGGGAGGAGATAAATGTGGGGTTTGGCTCAGTCCCTGGCCAGTCCTCTGCCCCCACTACCCAGCCCCTGTGCAAGGAGGTAAGCACTGTAATAAATTAGTTTTGGATGGGGTGCTACTCAGTTATGGAGGGGTGACTCCTGTCTACCGAGAGGTGCCTTGAGTCTAGAATGCATTGGTCTGGTAAATCATAACCAGAATCCTAGTCCAGTCTTGGAAGCATGCAGTCCAGTGCATGGACTTCTGCTGATTTACACCACCTGAAGGTCTATTTTACTAGACTATTCCAAAAAATAGCATTTTACTTTTTTCTGAATGATAGTAGTGATTAATATATGCTCTTATCCTCTGGTTTTGAATACAAAAATATTTTTATATGCTGACTAAACAAAAATCCATTAAAAAAATTCCTATTAGGGTTTTTGTAGTTACTTACTCTACTTTGGTTCTGGGTGTGACTGTAAACTGTACCCAACGGGAGGGCCTGGTGGCAATGTGGTGGGGCTATTTGTAGTGGGGTAGCTCTTATAAAATATCAAGATGTAGCAACCCTCAGAGTAAGGTGAGTATAGGGCATCTTAAAACCGTAGCCTGCACTACCTTGTAGATACTCCTTGGTTGGAGAAAGGCTAAGGGACATCAACCTGACAGAAACGTGCCCTCACTGAGGTATTAGATCTTACTAATAAATAAGTGGCAGAAGCTACAACCATTGAGGAACTGAACATCTGGACTTGTTCTAGCCTTTGGATTCTGCCTCGGTGGTCTGAAGTGGGGATGGTAGGTCTTAAGCACTCGCTACTCCTCCATACACTTGGTTAGGCTTGTGCATTGAAGGTCTTGGTGTGATGGTCGTAGGACTCTGTACAAGCAGATTCATCAGGCACCTGGCTAGGCCTCTTACATGTACACCATGATCCAGAGGATCAGCAGTTGCCTATTCTAT